TGAGGGAGGAGCATCTCCAGAACCCAGGTGGCAGAGGGTTCTGTGACCCGCGATCCCTCCATTGCCTCCCAGCCTGGGTAAAAAGAGCGAAACACTGTCTCAAAAAAAAAAAAAAAAAAAAATACAAATACATGGGTTTATTATCATAACCAATCTTTAAAGATCAGAAAAAAATTAGAAAAATAATGAAGAGATTCAAAACTAGCAAAGAACACATTTATTAAATGCTCACCACATCAGACACCTTAATACATTATATTTTTTAAAAAATAATTTGAAATTATTAAAATAGAGACAGGGTCTCACCATGCTGCCCTGTTGCCCAGGCTAGTCTTGAACTCCTGGGCTCAAGTGATCTGCCCCTCTCAGCTTCCCAAAGTGCTGGGATTACAGGCATGCCCCACTGTGCCCAGCCCATTATCTCATTCATTTTAGCCTCAAAACAACTTCAGAGAAGTAACTTGCTAAAAGATGGCAAAACTAGTAAGCATTGGATCCTAGCTTGTGAAAGCAAGATTTGCATCTGTCTTATTCTCCACTGAATCCCCAGCACCTACGCAGGTTGAAACCTGGCACACAGGAGGAGCTCAATGAGTGTATGAATAAACAATACATAACATCAGGATATACACCCAAAGGCAATCTGATCCAAAGTCCATACTTTTTCCACTTATGTTAAATAGACAAAAAACTCAAAAATATGTGGCTAAAAACAAAATAAAGTTGAATTTGGCTGTTTAACAGAGATTAGCCGGATTTGGCTGTCTGACAGGGATTGGCTGAATGACCTTTGCTAACCTTTTTGCAGGCATGCAGGAGGAAGAACGAAATGACCCAAAGCCACAGAGTTTTTTATTTCAGCCTTAGCTACTGCAGAGAGATAGTAGGCATGGAAAACTGTAGCATTATCTTCTATGTAATCAAGGCTCTGATATATTCTAGGAGGAAAGAAAGGAAATATTTTAGGTTATGAAACAAGACTGTATTCAACCTTTCAAAAGAATGAATAAGTAACTGGAAGTAGGGAGATGATTACATTGAAGGATACATGTAGCCTGTCCTTTTTCAGTAAGGAAGGAAAAACATATGGCATAAGATATTACTTTCTGAGGGCCTGTATCTGGCACATCTTGGCTTTAGAGGGTTGGTTAATGACCATATGAATTAGGAAACTTGATCTAAAACGGTAACGTTTACTGGGCATCAACAGTGCATTGAGCTAGCAGCTTTATCCATGGTCATTGCTATAAAAAGGGATCAGTTAGTCCTGAGGTGAGGAGTGGGCATGCAGTCAGAGGAAGCTTTACATATAGAAAGCAACATCTTTCCTATAGGTGGA